TGAGCCCACACCAGCAGGACCTTCTTCATTTTCTTATTCAAAGGAATACATTGTTGTATCTGCTCCAGGTACTCCACAATATATTCTGGAGATCTCTCAGACCAGTAAATTGAGATTTTCCTCACTCCTTACAGCCCTCCACAGAAAAGTACCTCACTTTATCCTGCCAGGGATTCATTGCTCAATTCTTGGGGAGATTTCAGACTTCTCCTGTTGCAGACACCGCCACAATGACTCACTGTCTGGAGGCTACGTTGTATTGTGCAACTCTATCAGTGGAATCGATTCCTAGAAATGGGATTATGGAGTCAAAGAGGGGAAAACCATCAGTGATTTCTTTAGACATTGACCCACTGTCCTCCATATGGTATTGTGCAGTTTTACCCTTTACTCAGCAATGTCTGAGACCACCTGTTTACCCACAGCCTCACCAACAGGGTGTTTGGCAATCTTTGAGGTTTTGACAATCTGGTAGGCGAGAATGGTAACACAGTATGTTTTTAATTTGCATTTTTTCTTATGATGCGTGGGATGGAGTATGTTTTTTATGTCTCATGACCATTTGTTTGAGTTGGTTATTTTGAATTTTCCAGGTATAAAACCATATCGTCTACAAATAGTTGTTTTACCTTTTGCTTTTTTACATTTTTATGTTCTTTCTCTTGTCTAACTGAGTTGGCTAAGACCTACACTATAGTGTTCAATAGTAGTGGTGATAATGGGTGTCCTAGTCATGTTTCTGACATTAGTGGGAATGTCTTTAGTGTTTCCCCATTAAGTAAAACTCTCTCTTTTGAGCTGAGATATGCATTTTCTTACATGTTATGGAGAGAGGAAGGGAGGGGGAGAGACACAGAGAAACATCGATGTGAGAGAGACACATCAATTGGTTGCCTCCCACATGCGCCCCAACCGGGGCTGGGGATCGAGCCTGCAACCAGCCGAGGTATGTGCCCTGGATCAGAACCGAACCCAGGACCCTTCCGGCTTCAGGTCTACGATCTATCCACTGAGCCAAACCAGTGAGCTGGACTGTTCATTTCATTTGTCCCAATCTATTGGTATTTTTAATCAGGAAAGAATGTTGTTTTTCATCAAATGCCTTTTCCGCATCTATGGAGATGGTATTGAATTTTTCCCCTTAGATCTATTACTATGATGTGTTATCTGATTAGAGCAAGCATGTCAAACTCGTGGCCCACGGGCCGCATGCCTCATTGATTTGGCCCGTGTTAGCCTTTGAGTTTGACATGCTTGGATGAGAGTTTCTACTAATGAACGATAATAATACATTTGAAAGGAGTGTTATCTACCTCAAATGAGGAATGCAGATTCTGCTCATGAGATAATAATATTTGCTCACATATTGTGTCTTCTCTGCTCCAGTTACTACGGCCTGACCGTTTGGTTCCCCGACATGATCCGGTATTTTCAAGAGGAAGAATACAAGTCCAAGATGAAGGTATTTTTCGGCGAGCACGTGTTCGGTGCCACAATCAACTTCACGATGGAAAATCAGATCCACCAGCACGGCAAGCTTGTGAATGACAAGTAAGTGAGAGGCTCAGACAGTCCCTAGATCAGCTGATGGTCCAGGGGTCTGTTCTTGGGAGAGAGCCATTGGACAGATAGGAATTCATGGTGGGGGAATGAGCTCCAAGAATATTGTGGTCCCACAACTTCCCATGGCTGCCAGAAACCCTCTAATTCCCCAGGAGGCCCTGCCTGTGTCGTGTTGGCTCCTAGTTATCCCTCATCACCTGTGGTATCTGATCCATCCAAGGATGGAGGCATTTGACTGAGGAGCGTCAATCAGACCATCTTTCCTGAGACCCCACACCTTGTTTTAAAATAAATATATTTTTATTGATTTCAGAGAGGAAGGGAGACGGAGAGAGAGAGAGAGATAGAAACATCAATAATGGGAGCGAGTTATTGATCAGCTGCCTCCTACACACACCCTACTGGGGACTGAGCCCGAAACCCGGCCCTGTGCCTGACTAGGAATTGAACCATGACATCCTGGTTCATAGGTTGATGCTCAACCACTGAGCCACACCTGCCGGACAGCAAATGTATCTCTCTGAACGTCTGCGCAAGTGCATGTAGGCTTCATTCGTAGAGGTGGTTTTTCCTAGGAAAGAGGGATTATGCACTAAAAAATTTGCAAAACTGCTTTTCAAACAGGCTGCACCAATTATATTCTATTAACAATGTGAGTGAAAGTGCCTATTTCCCCACATCTTTGTTGGGACGATTTTAAAAAATGAAGATTCTCACAAGTCTCTTGTTTGTTTGTTTTGGTTGTTGTTGTTAATCCTCATCGGAGGAGATTTTTCCATTGAATTTTTTTTTAGAGAGAGTGGAAGGGAGGGGGAGAGACAGAGAGAAACATCGACGTGAGAGAGACACATTGATTTGTTATCTTCGACACAGGAGATCGAGCCTGCAACCAGGTACATTCTCTTGACTGGAATCGAACCCACAATCCTTCAGTCCACGGGCTGACGGTCTATCCACTGAACCCAAACTGGCCAGGCCTCAAATCTCTTGTTTTTAAACCTACTAAGACCAGCTGTGGGACCTGCATGTTTTGAAAGCTCCTCATAATGTCAATGCTACCAGTATTTTCGTTTCGCGTGGTTCACATTTCTGAGTCCAATGCAGACGGTCCACGGACCTGCACTTGAGAACCATCAGGCTGATGGGGTAGCCCCATAGGTCCCTGCACTAGACACCAGCTTCCACCCTCCTGAGCTTCCCTCATCTATAAACCAGCAGCTATGAAAGGGGAACTAGCCCTAGCTGGTGTGGCTCAGTGGATAGAGTGTTGGCCAGTGGACCAAAGGGTCCCGGGTTCAATTCTGGTCAAGGGCACCTTTTGGTTGCAGGCTCCTCCCCAGCACAGGCCCTGGTCGGAGCGTGTGCAGGAGGCAAAAAGTCAATGTGTTTCTCTCACATCGATGTTTCTCTCTGTCTTTCCCTCTCTCTTCCACTCTCTCTAAAAATTAGTGGAAAAATCTTTGGGCGAGGATTAACAAAAACACACACACACACACACACACACACACAAAGTGGGGGGAACTAGTTTGGGCTGAAAATCATATTTCAGTATCTTTTGGTTTGTAGTTCTCCCTTTTTATGGCTTCCTGGGGTTTTCATTTCACTCTCAAGTCTCCTTTCCCCCTGGTGGATCTCTCAGGAACAAATGTCTTTCCACAGGTTCACAAAGATGTATTTCAAGCACGTTCTCTTTGAAGACACGTTCTTTGATGAGTGCTATTTTGAAGATGTTACATCCACGGATACCTATTTCAAAAACTGCACCATCGAATCCACCATCTTTTATAACACAGGTAAGAACGGGGGCAGAGCGGGGAGATCGTCATGGGGGTGGACTAGTCTTGTCTAAGAACCAAAATGGTCATAAGCTTTAGGAGCAGTAAATACAGCGCAGATACCCATGCTGAGCCTTAGGGTGGAGAAGTGGTTCCCACCCCAGGTACGGCGCAGGTGAGTTGCACAGTCTTTACCAAGGCATTTCATTGATCTGCATCCGTCTTATTACATGTAAAATAACAATGAGTTCTATGCATTCTTATTTGTGATTAAAATGTGGCACACCTTTTTACACGTCCATCGATTGGTTGTCTCCCACATGTGCCCCGACTGGGGCTTGGGGTGGAACCCAGGTACGTGCCCTTGACTGGGAATCGAACCTGTGACCTTTCCCTGCTCAGGCCAATGCTCTAACCAGGGAGCCACACCAGCAGGACGATGTTTGCATATTCTTCACAGGGGGATTCCTGCCAACACTAAAAACCCTCTGTGCTTTCCCATTCATCTCCCCTGCTCTGGCCCCTGCCCCTCACCCCGAAAACTACTGACCAAATTATCTTTATTTTGAAGAATGTTCAGGTTTCTCTATGGGCCCTGGGGTGGCCGCCTTACTGGATCAAATTCTTTTGTTGTTGGCTTTTAGAAGCTGTGTAGCCTCAGAGGACTGCTCTGTGCTTGAGAGATGATGTATTTACACAAGCTTCTCAGTGAATGCTTGTTTCCTTTTCCCTCGCCGATCAGAGTTGAGCAGGTCATTGCATTTGTAGAGGATTTTTGCTTCACCCACACCAGTGGTTCCCAAACTTATTGGGCCTACCGCCCCCTTTCCAGAAAAAATATTACTCGGCGCCCCCTGGAAATTAATTTTTTTAAAATTTTAATAGCAATTAAACAGAAAGATATATGTGTTAATGTTTCTACCTTTTTCGTAAAATATAGTAAAGAAAGGTGTAAATTAGAAACATTGAAGTTTGAAATTATGAAGCTATTTATTGAACTCAGAATAGAAAGGTAATACAAAAAAAGTTAAAACAAATGCACCTGTGGCCATCACCGCCCCCCTGGATCGCTGCAGCGCTCACCAGGGGGCGGTAGCGCCCACTTTGGGAATCACTGATCCACACCTTGGCGAGCGCCACCTTGACTTTGAAACTGTCTGATGGCCAGAGGCTGGTGCAGGCTGCCCAGGGAAGGGGCCCTACTTCATCCCTGCCTCTGCCCTGCCCTCCCCCCGACCCCCTGACTCCCCTACCCCCACTTTACACGAGCCTAAGGTTTCCTTCTCTCCCCAGACCTCTACGAGCATAAGTTCATCGACTGTCGCTTTATCAACTCGACCTTTCTGGACCAGAAGGAGGGCTGTCACATGGACTTGGAGCAAGACAACGACTTCCTGATTTACCTGGTCAGCTTCCTGGGCAGCCTGTCCGTCTTGCCGGGAAACATCATCTCCGCCCTGCTCATGGATCGGATCGGGAGGCTCAAGATGATCGGTGAGTTGTCAGGGCCAAGGCCGAGACGGAAGGTGGACGGTGGCATTTTTTTTCTTCATTTTCTTAAAGAAATCTTGCACAGGAAACCGCACAGGTAAGATGGAATCTGCCTTGCCGAAACCGGTTTGGCTCAGTGGATAGAGCATCGGCCTGCGGACTGAAAGGTCCCAGGTTCGATTCCGGTCAAGGGCATGTATCTGGGTTGCAGGCACATCCCCAGTAGGAGATGTGCAGGAGGCAGCTGATCGATGTTTCTCTCTCATCGATGTTTCTAACTCTCTATCTCTCTCCCTTCCTCTCTGTAAAAAAATCAATAAAATATATTAAAAAAAAAAAAAAGATGGAATCTGCCGGTGTGGAGTCAGGGAGGCACGTCGGCAAAATCCCAGGGCCCCGTGGAGGTGGTCTGACACCTCTAGTCCCTTGACTGGGAATGGGATGGGCTTAAATGCAGAATAAGCAGGGTTCCCTTCTGTAGCCCATTCACAGGTATGTTCTCACTGGAATGTAAGTTCCAGGAGAAGGGCTTTTTTATTTTTTATTTTTTTTAAATTTGGAAATTATGGGGGAAGCCAGTTGTGAGCTTGGTGCAAGGGACCAAGTTCTACTGAGTCTCCGTTCCCATCTGTTTTTATTTACTAGAATAAACAATTGCCGTTTAGGAATGCACATAGACATATCAATGGTAATGTTTAGTAAACAGTAAGATTATCAGGTTGGGGGAGTTTGCTTTAGGCCATTGAGTCAGCAGTAGGCAACAACATGCAGATATTCAGCCCTGTGAATATCAAAGAGCCCCATTCATCCGAGAAGGGCTTTTTGGTAGTGATGTATCTTAAGCATCCGGAAGAAGGCCTGGCATATAACAGACTGTTCACTCACCGACCCCTGCCTGGTCCCCAGTTGTCCGGGGCTGGAGCAACACCAGAGAACAGTTTCCAAGTTCTTCCCTTAGGCTGACTGGTGACAGGACCCATGTCCAGGCTCCATTTCCATGGCCGAGTCTCGTCTCCATTTCCTGACTGAGCAATTCTGTGACAATCACTTATTTTATTAGCACTTCAATAGGGATTTTAAATATACTCACTCTGCATCCTCTGTAAGGTTGTCAGAAAAATATGTAAAATGCTCTTTTTCTTTTAGAGAGAGTGGAAGGGAGGCAGCAAGAGGAGAGAGAGAGAGAGGGAGAAATATCGATGTGAGAGAGACACATCAGTGGGTTGCCTCCATTTGTGCCCCAACCAGGGCCAGGGATTGAACCTGCAACAGAGATACGTGCCCTTGACCTGAAATCGAACCTCAGTGGCAGATGCTCTCACTACTGAGCGAGCAAAATTGGCTTCTGAGAGGAAGGGAGAGGGAGAGAGGGAGAGGAACATCAGTGATGAGAGAGAATCATTGATCGACTGCCTCTTGCACACCCCCTACTGGAGACTGAGCCTGCAATCCAGGCATGTGCCCTGACCAGGAATGGAACCTGCGACCTCCTGGTTCATAGGTCGACCACTGAGCCACACCGGCTGGGCCAGATGGGCCTTTTACTTGAGGTAGCCTGTTACTTGCAGTGAACCTGTGAGGGTGGGAGATGGGGCAACAGGTGTGGGTAACCATTTCGTCCGAGCCACAGGCTTCATGTTTCTTGGGGCCCCTGCCCTCCCTCCCTCCACAGGTGGCTCCATGCTGATCTCTGCGGGCTGCTGCTTCTTCCTGTTCTTCGGCAACAGCGAGTCGGCGATGATCGGCTGGCAGTGCCTGTTCTGCGGGGCCAGCATCGCGGCCTGGAACGCTCTGGACGTGGTCACCGTGGAGCTGTACCCCACCACCCAGAGGTCAGTCCCCCCGCCCGGGCTCCTCCTGGGATTGTGTGGACTTAAGCTAGAAGTCCACCTGCTCCGATTCTGCCCGGGTCCGCCTTGATCTTCCTGGAGCTCATGGACCGAACGTTTCTTAGGTTTTTGAGTCTCTCCTGTGTGGGGGCTGGCACAGGCCTGGAAGTGGGCAGACCAAGGCTTACGAGGGTGGGGCGAATGGCAAGATGCAAAGGGTGCATGGAAACCATGCCCAGGAGAGAAAGTAGGAGGGCAATACCGTATGCATCATGCAATCAAAAAGAGGTGAGAACACGCCTTCCGCTGGGAGATAAAGTGAAAAAGAGAGGAACTAGGTAAACACAGGCCTGGGAGAGGCAGAGGGAGAGAAGGTGGGATGAGGGTGATGGTTTGGGGCATTTGCAGAGAATGTGGTGGGTTGCCCAGGGTGTACTTTTTAAAAAAATATATATTTTATTGATTTTTCATAGAGAGGAAGGGAGAGAGATAGAGAGTTAGAAACATCGATGAGAGAGAAACATCGATCAGCTGCCTCCTGCACACCTCTTACTGGGGATGTGCCTGCAACCAAGGTACATGCCCTTGACCGGAATCGAACCTGGGACCTTTCAGTCCACAGGCCGACGCTCTATCCACTGAGCCAAACTGATTAGGGCTCCCAGGGTGTACTTTTATTTTGCACAAGCCATGTGAGGAGAGACCTGGTTTAAAAGCATCGGGACAAGGCAGCTCTTCCTCCTCCCAGAGGAGGAACTGGGAATTTTAAGAATAGCAGATAAAGGGGACCTGGGGTCAAAAAGGACTGTGAAGTGGTGGGGAAGGCAGGTAACTGAAATTCTGCAAAAAATCCTAAATTGGTGACGGAGGTACTGGGATGTAGGTTGCCATGGGAACGCCTAAGTCTTACAAAAAATTAAGGGGAGGAGAAATGATCGTTATTTGCATGGGATGCGAGTTCACATCTAGGAACCTCAAGAGAATTAACTGAAGAGACTATTAGGAACAATAGAATAATGTGGTAAGATGGTCAGTAATAGAACTAAGTTAATAATGTATATAGACTTTAAAATATATTTAAAAAATTAGAAATAAAATGGAAATCCATTTCATAACAGCAGAAATCATAAAATATCTAGGAATCAATTTGATGAGAAAGGTGAAACGCTTACATGGAGAGAACCATAAAACTACTGAGAGATATAAAAGAAGACTTAAATGTGTATCAGGAAATATCTTATTGAATTCTAAGAAGATTTAATCTTACAAAAATGTCAAATTTTCTTTAGATTTTTTCTAACTTAAGAGTCCATTCAGCCTAGCCAGTATGGCTCAGTGGTTGAGCATCAACCTATGAACCAGGAGGGCTCGGTTCCATTCCCCATCAGGACAGGTGCCCAGGTTGCAGGTTCAGTCCCCAGTAGGGGGCGTGCATGAGGCAGCTAATCAGTGATTCTTATCATTGATGTTTCTATCTCTCCTCCCTTCCTCTCTCTGAAACCATTAAAAACATATTAAAAAAAAATTCCATTCAAAATTCTATGAGATCTCCTATCCCCACCCCCAGGAACTTGAGAAAATTAATCTAGACCTTATTTGGAAAATAAAATTGTCAAAATATCCAAGAATATTCTGAAAACAAAAGACTGGAATTGAGGGTTAGGGATGGAAGGGTAGTACGGTTTCAGAAAAGAAAATATAAAGAAGAACTTAAAGTATAAATATATAGCCACATTCTTAATTAACTTGTGGTCTGAAAAGGAAAAAAAAAAAAGCAAGTTTGAAGGAAATACTCCAAAATGTTAATAGTTGTGATCGCTTTTCAGTGGCGGGGTTATATATCCCTGCATCTTCATGCTATTCTGTATTTCCAAATTTGACTAAAATGAGAATGTATTACTTTTATATTCAAGGGAGAAAATTCCCTCCCACATCTTCACTATACCTTCCCCCACAGTGAGGAAGAGAAAGAACATCTAGTTCAGCGGTTCTCAAACTGTGGGTCACGACCCCTTTGGGGGTCGAACGACCCTTTCACAGGGGTCGCCTAAGACCATCAGAAAACACATATATAATTACATATTGTTTTTGTGATTTATCACTATGCTTTAATTATGTTCAATTTGTAACAATGAAAATACATCCTGCATATCAGATATTTACATGACGATTCATAACAGTAGCAACATGACAGTGATGAAGTAGCAACGAAAATAATTTTATGGTTGGGGGGTTACCACAACATGAGGAACTGTACGAAAGGGTCGCGGCATTAGGAAGGTTGAGAACCCACTGGTCTAGTTGGTGTCTGTCAGCATCCACTTCCTCCTTCTCTTACAGGGCAACAGCCTTTGGCATCCTCAATGGATTATGCAAATTTGGAGCCATCCTGGGAAACACCATCTTTGCTTCTTTTGTTGGGATAACCAAGGTGGTCCCCATCCTTCTGGCTGCCACTTCTCTCGTTGGGGGCGGCCTGATTGCTCTTCGGCTGCCAGAGACCCGAGAGCAGGTGCTGATGTGAACCGGCCACGGGGAGAGGAAATGTCGGAAGAACCTTTCCCGGGGACCCTCAGGGCATCCACACTTCCTGTCCGTCACCGCCCAGAGGACTTTGGAAGCACCAGAGGAGATGTTGACTTTGCGACCCCTAATCTAGGACCCATCTCAGCTTTAAGATGTTGGTAACTCAGGTGCCCGATTTGGGGTGTCCTGAGCTGCCCTGGTAATCATGGAGCTGTGTGCTTGGTTCTAGGTCGCCCCAGCCCAAGGCAGGGGAGGAGGTGTAACACCCCCCAGGGGGGTGCGTGCTAAGCAAGGAGGTGCAAGGACTTCTTTGCACTTGAAGGTGGATTTGAGCATGAGGACACTCAAGCTCCTTCATAAAGTTCTTCGGAGCCCAGTGACCTAACAACACGTTAACTGGGCAAGAAGTTAGCGTCATCCTATAAATATTGGGCTGAAAGTACAGGATCCATATTTTTTTTGCATTGAAAAGAATCACCTATCATATTTTCCATTTGAAAATTGGCACCATCGCGGGGAAGATACGCTGATATAGAAAAACAAATATTTGAGCATTATCTATAGAAACCTACTCCCTACCCCAAGTGTCCTGAGCTTTTCAGGACGATTAGGTGATACATTTAAGAAAGATATTTATCCCTTTCCGATCTAGTCAAAGAAGCCTAATGGGATAGGTATTCTGTGAACTAACTTTGTACATACTCTACTTGGGTTTCGTTTGCAGACATGGTATCTGCAAACATTTGCCAGCAATTATATAGCCATATTTTGGGAGGACTCGGGGATTGAGGTCCCGGGAAACTGGGTCCGATGGAATGAAATGCAAGCACAATTTCTTATAGCCATTCAGCTTGCTGTGGGAGGTGCGCTCAGCAGACCCACTTCGCACAGTTCGTGGAGTCTAGACACGTCCCTTCGTGTAGCCTCTCTCACACCGATCGCTTGTGAAACTCAGGCTCGCTGCCTGCGGTCCTGGCATTTGACGTCGCTGCTCCCCCAGAACAACATGGGACGAGCTCAGTGGCCTCTGGTGTCTGCGGGTGAGCATCAAACACGGTAGACAACACGCGGGGTGGAGGGAGAAGAGAAGTGTCCCCACAGCTCTCCAAAGTGCTAATTCTCCCTGTTCCTTTCAGCAGCAAGACACGACCCGGATTTGGTCCCATGAGAAATCTATGCTTTGTGTTTCGGTCCAGGACTTTTTTTTTTATCATCTCCCATTTCCCCCCACTTTGCCCCCCTCCTTCCAGCCCCTCCCCACCCCGCCAGGTCTTCACTGCCCTATTGCCCATGTCCATGGACTATGCCTGTAAGTATATAAGTTCTTTGATTTATTCGGTCCAGGACTTTTTTTTTTTAAATATATTTTATTGATTTTTTACAGAGAGGAAGGGAGAGAGCTAGAGAGTTAGAAACAGCGATGAGAGAGAAACATCGATCAGCTGCCTCCTGCACATCTCCTACTGGGGATGTGCCTGCAACCCAGGTACATGCCCTTGACCGGAATCGAACCTGGGACCTTTCAGTCCACAGGCCGACGCTCTATCCACTGAGCCAAACTGGTTTCGGCCGGTCCAGGACTTTTAAAACAGATGCCATTGCCAGGGGAGTAGGGAGTGTCATGGATGTCAAATACGTTTTCCTTGAGGGCTCTAAGGGGATTCCTTCCTGACACCCAGTTTGGACGTGAATTGGGGTAAGAGGGGTGAGGAGCGGAGGACAAACGACGTTGGCAGGGGTCAGCAGTGGGCTGAAGTGTGTCCATGAGAACTGTCCTGCACGGAGGGGCAGTGAGCTCTGGACTCGCGCCACTGGCGGTGAGCGGCAGCCTGAAGAACGCACGCTTTGAGGCGATAAGCGAGACTCTCAGGACTGCAAGGTGCGTCTTTCCCGACCAGCGGTCTCCAAAAATCTGAAACACAGTAATGATGGCTCACCGCGTGCTTTCTCAGGTTTTGAGAGGCGCTCGGGTCCCAAGACGGCTGGGGGCCGTCTTCCTGTGGTTCTCTGGAGTGACTGACGGTCGAGGGCACCTTTCTACCCTCAAGCCGAGATCGGTTTTACCGGTTAAAATATTTCCTCTGCTTCTCTTGTGTCCCACCTCTTTGTTCACCTTTATTTTTTCTGTACAGCGAAGACACATCGGCTCTGATTTGCCATCCCGATCCTCCCAACTATATACATACGCCACTGTGGGTTAATGTTTCTTCCAGGGCTTTGCAGACGTCACCTAACAGGAATGGTAGGTGGATGAGGAGAGGCCCAGTGTAACATAGCTGTAATATACTCGCCACATTCTTAGGACGTGAAATGCAGTGGCCAGTTTCCTGCAAGAGAGCCGTGTCCACCTGGGATGACTACAGCCCTCGTAGCATTGTTCTTCAACGGGATAGCGGGATTCGATGAGCAGCTAGCACGTGAGAAATTCACAAGGCCGTTAGAAGCTGCATTTCTCGTTACGGTGGATCTTGTAAATCTAAAACGTGCTTGCTTTTTTAGTGTTGGGGTGGCTGCCATAATTTGGGGGTGAGCTCCCTTTGATGTCCGAGTGCTAACTTCTGCACACTCTTTCTGGCTCCTTATACCAACCACCTAAACAACCAAGGGCAATTCTCATCGCATCCCTGCGTTTCCCCACGAAGGATGGCCGGGCACCGGCACGTGCCCACCTCTCAAATGCTGCCACTCCTGCGGAGATAAATGCTTCTTTAAATACAGTCTCTGTGGCAGGGCGTGGGGCGGGGGATGGCGGGGAATGTACAGCATTCGTGTTCTACCCAGAGAAATGGAATCGTGGAGAATGAAAGGGATGAGGTTCTCCTTCGTCGAGCAAATCTGTACCCAGTTCATGATGGACCTTACTATGCCCAGTTTGGGAGTGGTTACTTTGAAGGGTCTCCACTATATTGTGTCATTTCCTGATGCCGATTTCCGATCTTTTGTTTCATTGAAAATAATTAGTGCGAGGGGTTGTGTCCGTTTGTGAAGTGTTTAGCACATGCGCCTGAGGTCATGGTACACAGACCCTTCCGTGCCTAAGGTCTCCTGGTACCTTGTGTGCGTTCATTAAAAAAATAATAAAAACAATTGTAAACAAACCTTTAAGCACTGAGGCTAGAGATTCTTTTCCGCTTCTGAGGTCTTCCGGATTCCCACGTTGATAGGATCAGCTGGGAGGAGCATCAAGAATCGTTCCCTTTCGCTTTGTTTTGCACATGGGGACCTTGGGAGGTTAAATGATGTGTCTCAGTTGACACATAATCCTAGAAGCGGGTTACGAGGCTTACAGAGATGCTCTCACTATAACTCGGGACTAATTCCTCACCGATGTCCTACGACAGCGCCCCCCACAGGGTCTTTGAATAATGGACAATGTGACCAGCCCTTACCTTCCACTTCTGTCTTTTCCCTTAGATTGTCAAATTAAAAAATGATGACAGCTGCCCGGCCAGCATGGCTCAGTGGTTGAGTATCAACCTATGAACCAGGAGGTCATGGTTTGATTCCCGGTCAGGGCACATGCCTGGGTTGTGGGCTCCTCCTCTCTCTGAAAACAATAAAAAATATACATAGATATTTAAAAAAATGACGACAGCTTTTATAGCTATTTTTTCTTTAGTGTGAATGAATCATTATTTTATATATATATATATATATATATATATATATATATATATATATATTTATTTATTTGGTGTATATATATATATATATATATATGTGTGCCATGAGATGAGCAAGGTTTAAAAGTGCTGCCATAGTTAAATGGTGAGGAGCAAGGTTTAAAAGTGCTGCCATAGTTAAATGGTGAGGAGCAATGAACATGTCACATTTAAACTACTTCATCACTGGATTGATCTGAATGCCAACCCAACAGTGTAGCCACAGCTCTGGGTGGGAGAGGGTCTTGGAGGCCCTGCTTTGCTGAGCACGATGGGTTAGGCCAGTGGTTGGCAAACCGTGAGCCACATGTGGCTCTTTGGCCCCTTGAGTGTGGCCACGAAGTTTCAATCGCACTGTACGTGTGCGCCTGCACGTGGTATTTTGTGGAAGAGCCACACTCAAGGGGCCGCAGTTTGCCGACCACTGGGTTAGGCTATTGGATGGTGGAGAGCACCGGGATTCGGGGGAGGGTCCTGGTTGAGTGGTGGTGTGGGGGGGCATTCAGGGATTTAGGGTAGTGGCTCTTTGCCAATTGATATGGAATCATTTCAGTGTTTTAACAGGTATGGAGGTGCCAGTGGGAACTGGCTGAATAGAAACCGTAGAAGGACTTGTCAACCCCAGGCCAGCATCCTCGTCTAATAGTGGTTTCCAAGGACCTATGAAAAGCTTGAGGTCGGATTTAGATTCTACCAGGTATGCATTTTTCTTTATAAACACTAGAGGGAAGCAGCTACCTTGGAAATGTGCAACAGGCCTGTACTCCAGAGCTGGTGAACGGGGCTCTCCCAGTTTCAGTCAAGGGAGATGAGGCAGCTTTTGCAAAAACACCCGAGTGTTTTCTCTCTATTCTTTAGGATGCGTCTACATGTGGAGATGATTCCCGAGGGCATTTGTTGGAGGGCTCAGGGTGTCCTTCAACCTGTTGTCACATGCTTGGGCCTGAAATATGGAGACTTTTCTAATCTTTGGGGGCAATTGTCCAGATTCAGAAAATATTTATTAAATGCGCAGGTGGAAATGCCTGGCGCACCGTAGCAGACAATCCAAGCTTATTTAACCGGTCCCTCACCATTTACTGTTGCTGGGTAATTGCATGTAGGCAAAACACTATCTGGGTGTGCCCTGGGGATTTGTGAAGATTAAGTGTTATAAACAGGGACGTAGAAGTGAGTGGTGTTTGCATAGTCACAAGGTGTCTGTGCAAAAATTGAACTCTTCCACATATGGGAGGTGGCTGCTGACATGAACCATATTTAAACACACTGTCCTAGCCCAACTGGCGTGGTTCAGTGGTTGAGCATCGACCTATGAACCAGGAGGTCACGGTTCGAT